TCTATTTTTCTTCAACTAGTTTTCTTTTCTTGCACTTTTTGCTTTCTCTTTTCTTGCTTTCTTTTTCATTTTTTCTTCCTTACTTTATATTTGTTTATATTAGTTTTTATCTTCTTTTTTAAGTTTTAATAAAAATCATATGCAAAAATGCCTGTCTATCCTCTGCTTGAATGCCTCCTTTGAAGAGGAGACCACCTCCTTTTGATTTTTAAAGAAATTTACCACCCTACAACTGAGACCCACAATTCCATGTCTTGGCTTTGGGTCCTGCCCTGTTCCTTTCAATTGTGTAAACAGTTCTAGAAATGGCTCTGCCAGTTGTCTGGCTGTAGGGTCTAACTACTATTCTCTGCAAAAGTATTCATCTCCCTTTTAGATTTTTTGATTTTCTGCGTATTGTCGGCAACATATTTTATCAGAGCTCCAACTGATTCATAAGGAGAGTCTGAGTGAAAACCAGCACTTGGTTCTTGTCTTCTTTATTTCATAAGCAAGATTATCTAATGTGCAGTGTGCCAGTGTGGGAAGAAAAAAAAATCCCCCATAGTTCAATCAGCTCAATTCAAGAGATAATGAATGTTCTTTTGCCTTGCTAGTCTCCCATGAATGTCCCCCTCCTCCACCATCACCACCAAGTGCTTTTATGATGGTAGAATCATGAATACCAACTTTAGTTAAGACGAGAGAGGGCTTTTAACCTCTGGGACAATTTTGTTCTGCACTTTTGCAGTGATTTCAACAAGCCAGCCATGCTTGGAAAGGCTCATTACTGTTCTAAATCATCTCCATTGTAAGACTGTCTCTGTGGATCACTGAAGCTCCAGAGCTTTAGAAGTGTGTTGATCAACTTTTCCAGAACCTAGGCATAAATACTATTTCTGTATTATTATTTAGGTCTTCAGAGATGTATTTCAGATAGGGAAAAATTCTTATTGGATCATGAGAACTTCCCTCTGATAATGGGACCAAAGTCTGTGAGATTTCCTTAGGGTAGGGCTGGCTCAAATCACCCTTGTTTGTGACTCTACCAGAAGCACATTGATGCTTATTTCATGTTTGCCGGATGAATTTGCCATCTTCTGGAAGAATGCTGTGTGGATGGATAAGTCAAAAGTGGAAGTTTTGGACTACATGGACATCGTATGTGGCAGAAACCAAACACTGCATTCCACAAGATGAATATCATATCAGTTGTCAAGTAGGAGAGCATAATATTATGGTTTGTGGATGTTTTGCCTCCCCAGGACCCTTTAACACAATATCAAGCCATCTGTCTGTCACTAAGCAAGATGGTTATGCAGTGAGACAATAACGTCAAATTTGTAGCAATTCCACAAGATAATGGATGAAGAGAATGTGTGAAGTATTTGGAATGGCAAGTCAAAGTTCAGCCCTAAAACCCAAACACATGTTATGGTCAGACCTGAAACAGGCAGTTCATCTTAGAAAATCTGAAAATTTACTGAGTTTAAGCAGTTTGCCATGAAAGCGTGGTTCCAAAGTGCTCTGTAGTGATGTGAAAAGCTGATAAGCAATTACAGGAAGTGATTCATTGCTGGTCTTGGAACTAAAGTGATGCAATCAGATACTGAATCTAAACAGGCAATTTGTTTTCCACACTGGCATACTTTATTTATGAAATATATGGAGCATGAACCAAACTTGGTGTCATTTGTTCACTCAGATTCCCTTATATATCAGCAGGCCCATGTGCAATTCTTATAATGTTCAGTAGATATGGAGATATGGAGAAACAAAACAAAACAAAACCAGAAAATCCAAAAGGGATGAATACTTTTTTCCCCCACCATGGAACTATAATATGAGAAATATCACACTGCTACAGTTCTACCTTTCCTTTTTCTTTTTTTAATTATAATCGTACTGAAATCTACGAATAAAAAAATAAAAAATGAATAGAAACCAAGAAAAATATAAAATGTAAGAAGAAAAAAATCACAGAGGAAAAGAAAAAGAAAAAATAATACTGAAAAAGAAAAGAAATATAAAGAAATTACTTCCCCTTCATCAAGACAAGTACAAATTACAACAAATTGAACAAATAAGTTCTTTCAGTAGTTTATCATCTTCTCTGATACTTCAACAAAAACTCTCTTCTTGCCATATTTCATCTATAAACAAATTTTAAAGCCCCGTCATTTGGTTCTAGTCCAGAAAAGTCCATTTAGAGCTACCAGAAACAACAACATATATATTTTAACATTGGCCAAATAAACCAACTTTGTATTCCTTTAGTTACTTTTAAGAATCTTGATCTTTAATCCCTTTAAATAGTGTCCCAAAATATGATCTCTTTCCATTTTCTCTTTATCTCTTCTGAGAAGTTTAGCAGGTCTCTTTTGTAAATCTGATATAATAAAGTGTCCAAGTCACTATTCTGAGTTATTATTTGTATGTCCCTTTTAGTTGTTAAGGCATCAGCTGGTTTCATTTGTAAATCCAGTGTAACATCTTTTTCCATATCACTGTTGTAGCCTGACATTTTAAAATCCACTTTCAGATCCACATTCAAATCAGCCTCAGTCTCTGTTTTGTCCAGTAAAATCCATTGCTCTTCTATAACCTCTTCTAAATCTGTTTTTATAATAGCAGACAATCTTAAGAGTAATTTCTGAGTGTATTGTTCCCAAATATCCTTGAATTCTTCCAAAGTCAGATTAATTTGCTCCATTCTGTATTAATGGGTCTCTTATCCTTTAATTATAATCTTTAGTTCTTTCTGTTTCACTCTAGTGTCCAACCTTCTATGTCCTCTCTTACCAAGTTTTTTTTCCCATCCTAATCAACAACATTTTCCCATAGGAAGGTTTCTTACACTTAATTTCAAAATCTTTATATATCTATATCTATCTATCTATATCTATATCTATATCTATATCTATATCTATATCTATATCTATATCTATAGCTATATAATATTTCAAACAACCCACAGGAAAGATTTTTAATTTCAAAATCTTATTTTAAATCCCTCTGACCCCTTAGTCCATTCATAACTTTCCAAAATCAGCATTCAAATCACCCTTTTGCTAGTTATTCCAAAATAAGAATTTTTAAAGTCCTTAAACTTACATAAAACTTCTTTCATCAAGGATAGAAGGAAACTCAGACAGTGTAATGAATCTTGCCTTTCTGAAGGTTCTTAATATCCAAAAAGCTGTTAACAAGCAATTTCCAAAAGTGCTTAAGAAAGGAAGTATGCGAACCCAGTGTCTTTCTGAAAGCTCCGCACTGCGACTGAGGCAGAGATGGCTATTCCCTCAGTTCCCAGAGCTGTACAACCCACCAGAAACTGCTGTCTTGTGGTCTCCTCATCAGGAGACACTGTATGGGCAATCCCAGTCCTCTCCTTACTCCAGAGAGGAATTCCAAGAAGCCGATTCATTCACTGGCTCCTCGTTCCGTTGCTGTCCTCAGCTCCATTCTTGTGGAGCCATCTTCAGTCCACCATTGCTTCTCCAGAAGATTATCTTTCCTGTTTCCAATTTTTGATGACTCAACCCAGTAGAGAGCTGGTGTGTGTGTGTGTGTGTGTGTGTGTGTGTGTGTGTATTTTAAAAAAGGCAAATTCCATGATGGGGATTATAAGTCAAGGAATGAAATATAAGACTGCCAATACTGCCAAAGTTTATATAAATCTTTGATATAATCATACTAGGAATAGAATCTATATTTCTGGTCTCCGCAGCAATATACCAGTGCTGGATTGCAACGTTTCGAGCTTTATTTTATCCTAGAAAAGGGCAGGAGTGCATGATAGAAATCTATAAAATTATATATGGAGAGCAATTTTTTTTTCATTATTTCTTAGAATGAATTATGGCATATTCAGAATAGATAAAATGAAGTATTTCTTTACAGGGTATGTACTGGGAGTTTTCCTTTACTACCAGGTAGTTGAGAACTTGAATAAGTCATTACTGCCCTAAGCCCCTTGGAAGAAATTTCCTCCAAGGAAAAGGCAGAGTCCAATTACCTGATCACCCAGGCATGTCAAGAGAAATTAGCTGAGGCTGTCCTTTGCTACATTAGGGAATGGCAACCCCCCCCCCCCGAAATGCAGTTAAGCATCTGGGGACTCTGATACATTATGTCCAAAATGAGGAAGCTAGAAGACACAGAAATAGCTTTAAATAGCTATCAGTGGTTCTGTTTCTTGCTGGGAAGAGCCCCCACCCCACCCCCAAACTCAGTATTACTCAGAAAGGCTCAGTTCAGTGAAACTGAAAGGATGAAATGATGGAGGAGAAAATTGCTGTTTTGCCTTCAACGCCATCATGGAGAACTTTTCCAGCCCAAATATGACTGCTCTAGCTCCATGCAAAATACAAGCGTACTAGATTAGCACATGAATAGTAAGGAAGCCAAGATAGAGAAAAAGAAATCTTAGAGACTACAGAAAGTCCCATCTGCTGATCCTCTCCAACTCAGGTCCATCTTCTTATGCACAATTAGACATGGAAGAGAGAGGCTCATATATGGACTTGGAATTTAAGAATAGCAGTGGGAGGAAGAGGTAGACCAGGATGATGCCACAGTACTAAAGGAGGAAGAAGAGAAGAGAATTCTCTTCCTACAAGGTATATAAATGCATGACTTTTTTTTCCCAAAAACAACCTTAATCAAAATAACTATTTTGCTACTTACTTGATGCTTCAACGCACATTTTTTGTGAGTTCTTTTATTGATTTTTATGAAATGCCAGCCAAGTCAGACTGCTCTGTACTTTTACTTGGAAGAGAACGGGATGCAGCAGAACTTATTTCCAAACAAATGTTTATGGGGTTGTCATTTTTGTCAGGCCAGACTGGGCTATGTATTCATGACTTTTTAAAGTGTGTAAAGTTTCCAGCAGTTGTTGCTGGTTGAGCATTTTCGGAACTAGACTGCTGAATTGTACTGAAACGTAATACATTAACGGAGAGATGTGCTCCTTCTCTCTCTCTCTCCCTCTCTCTTTCTTTCTCTCTCCACCCCAGGCTTGTTCTCAGCTCAGTTTCAGATTACTTTGCTGCCATGTTTACAAATGATGTTTGTGAAGCCAAGCAAGAAGAAATCAAAATGGAAGGCATTGACCCTGGCGCACTTTGGGATCTTGTTCAGTTTGCATATACAGGTACCATAATGCCTTGAATTATATTTTCAGGAATAAACCCTGATTCTTTTGTTCATCTTTCTTTAACAGTGGTAGAATATGAATACCCCAGCAGTTTGTATAATCTGAATTCATAGGTCATAGGGACTGGAAAAAGTGACATGCTGTACTTGTGAAATTCAAACAAAATCACATCCCTGTTCTTCTAAGGATTGTGGGTTTCATGCTCGCTTTGCCCAGACAGTAGATGACTTTTTACTTACTGTATACAGCTATTTCATGCTAGCTGTAGTAAGGCACGATAATGTTAAGGTTTGATGGAGGAATTATCCATATATATTGTCCCAAAGTTGTTTATCTGGTATCAATAGTTGTTTCACACTGTTGCCTCCAAACTGAAGGTACCTATATTAGTGTTAAAATGGAGAAAGTAGCATTACCTTTCATTGCTGATGG